TCATTGTACCCAGGATACCCAGCAATCACCTATAGAGGAGGGCAACAGCACACCCAGACGCCCGGTGACTCTCATGCAGAACAATCTGCTGGTGTTATCGGCCGTCGACCTAGCCACAATCAACCCGAGCCGTCGAAATCTGCACTTTCTCTCAAGACATCATCTGAGGCGTTGGTCAGCCAAGACAAGGACCGCTCATCTCAGGCTATCAGTGACTCGGAGGATACCAGCCTTGACATGGCCAATCCTAAGTCTGCTACTAGCGAGAAATCGCATGGTAGGCCGAGCACCAAGAGTGACGAAGGAAGCGGACACTGGGGCTCGTGGAGACGTGATGCGGCTCCCACCGCACCATCCTCCACCAAGCCAGAGCAGCCAGCATCTTACGTCGCTGTGTCCCAGCGCCCCGCCGCCAGGCGTAACATGAAAGTGTTAAAGCCCACCAAGACGCTGACCCGGTCCAACACAGCCAACGCCCCAAGCGGTATGGCCCAGCTTTCCATCGCCGACCGCACGTCCGGCGACGGCCCGCCCGCCAACAGACAAACACGATCAACTAGTGGAGAGAACGGAGACGTTCTGAACCACATATCCAATCATTCCAGCACTCCTTGGCCTGGGAAGTCCAGACCAAGCAACAATCCGATCGGCGGAGCGTCTGCCTTTGGATGGCTGAATACGCAACAGAAGCAGAACCCAACAACACACGCCGACTGAGCTCTGAGTATGAATATGACTTTTATCGTTAATGGGAAAAGTGGCGGAAAGGGAGAGCCGGGTGCTGGATTGGCTTGTGTGTGGGCGGCTTTTCTATACTTATTCTTAAGGTGCTGCACTTTAGTCCTAACAGATGCAGATAGGAGCAATGACATGCCTTTGTGAAAGCGAGCTTCTTTACTTTCTAAAACCCTTGCCTTTGTCTTTGTATTATGCTGTAGGTTTGTAACATCCTACCCTTAATTCGTTCACCTTGACTATTTTGAATGGGTTTACCTCACTTAGCTTTTGATACCCTTATACCCGCAACTACAGTGCCTTCAGATCGTCAACTTACTTTGCCTATGGCTCTGCGAAGGTATTTATTCAATAACACTAAGAATGCAAACAACGAAGGGAAAGGTTCAGTACATTTAACCCCACCACCCAATATCCTGGCTCATTTTCAAGCGCATAAAACTCCTCTAAGGAATTGCAAGACGTACATTGTCTCTATTGTCTCTACATAATACTGGCACTGTTACAAAGTTCGGAGTTAGGGGCCCTACTCTACACCACCGGCTGAAATATCCAATTAAACTTATATGACAGTCTCGAGTTTGAACTATTAAATCTTGGGAGATATTCTATCAAGCAATCCAAACCCCATATATCAATGCTAGTATCCCAATTTCCTCGATGAGTCATTCCTGGTGTACGCAATGCTACGGGAGTAGCTGGCTGTTGATTATTAGGGGGTAGCTCCATATAGCTACTAATGGTTACCATATGAGCGAGAGTGACTGGTTTTAGGGAATAACATTACCCTCTCTAAAACCACCAATCTTGACCTCCATGGCAGGTATACCCGTCTCGCTGAGGGTCAAACGAATCCTCTGTGGAGATACGAGATATTTGGGAGCCGCTGTATTCAGATTATAAACTAGCAACTCACCTGTAGAGAACCGTATTTGTTTTTGGACAGACTGTAGCTGGATATAAAATCAAGGTGAGTATTAAATGTTTCTGTTAACGAGTTAGTTCAGCAATCGCCAGATTGACAAAAGAAAGTTTCACTAGGGCCAGAGTCAGCCTTAACTAACTAGTTAGTTCACTAACTAGTCAACTAAGCAGCAATCCAGTCACAGCTTTAGGGATTCCTTTACGGAACATCTCGAATAGTAAGAGCCACCGGATAGAAGTGACTAAGTAGTGGTGTTTCTTGAAATTGCTTCGAAACTCGAGAAACTTACAAGCAGAATGTTTATAATGTCTCTATTTAAACAAATAATAGGCCAGTAAACGATGAATAGCCAATCAATACGCTCGAGCTAATAGCAAGGTTTAAGCTCCCGCAGCGAGTTAACTATAAAACCTTATTGGAAACCTTCTTCATATCTTAAAACTGTGGTAATCTTCTATTCGACGACGAATTCAACCTAACTGGAATTATAGGCTGGGGCGAAACTCAGCCTATGCTCTTAGAGCATCTCGCACTTTGTCCCGATATTATCACGTTTCCGTCCCTTTCTGACGAGGACAGACCGATTATTGAGTTTAGAAACTTATTCATTTAGAACCTCGAGAAGGTGGGGATCGAGTGCTCGGATACAAAAATTTCCAGGGCTTTGAAGTTGCTGGCTGACTTTATGAAGTCATAAAAGTTCGATATTGCATACATGTGCTAGACTAGCAATCCACGCTAAGCGTTTTGGTTCGCAAAGACTGCAAGCTTTAGTTGGTGAAGACATTAATTGGGATCAGCTGAAGAAAGTGTATGGGATGAGGCCTATTAATTAAAACAAGTCAACTAAATGAAGCCATTAATTTACTTATTTTACTTATTATACCTTGGATATCAGATGGTGTACATAGAACGTGATAGCCACCAGAGCGTGGCCCCCTTACTCCTCCTCCTCTGAGCCCTCTGAGCCCTCTGAGTCCTCATACTCCGTTTTGCCATCACCATCCCAAGGCATAAAAGGCTGAAGCGTAGCGCGCTTTCTGGTCAAAATTTCAAAGTACTGCAGTTTCCACCCGGAAGCAAAACACCCGTTATGAGGATGGAAAATGACTCTTACGGTTGCTGGGTGGGTCATTTGTTCTGCAAGGCGAGTCGCCTGGCCTTCCATATCAGATCGTAACTTTAGGGAGCCAGACCTATCAGATGAACCACATCTTCTGCTATAAGACGCTGCTGTGATACCTGAGGGTTCATTTGACAGGCTGAGGTTCACTATAACTGACCTTAAATATGGAACCGCCGAATCCTGAGTGTAGAGAACAAGTGGGCATATTTCACGCATGCGTAAACGAAGCCGGTGTGGCTGTGGAAGAAGAGCCGCTATATCTTGACAAATATGCATCTGGTGTCTCGAGTGTAGTTGGGACTCGTCCTGGTGAATAAAATTGCTTCCGCAGGTATCCAGTTCTAGGACACTCAGCCGGCCAAGCGAGAGAAGACCGAGTATTTTATCCATTAATATATATTCTCGGCGCGGGAGCATTGGGAGCTTAGGGTTGAATTCACTCCATGCGGTAAACCGCAGCGTACGGAGAGTCCTACTTCCCTGAAGCCATGTTGCAAGCTTGGTGAGATCACTGTTCAAATTTCTCGTCCATGAACCCAAGGAAGCCTGGATTGCCTGATCATCTAGACCCTGAGCATAAGTACTGTCCCAGCTCTCAAACCCTCTTAGCTCTATAGCAAGGTGATTCCACTTATGCTTGGAAGAGTCGTCCGACGTACTGTGACTCGGGCGGAGAAGAAATCTGGATAGACTTTCGGCTTGTAGGTATATGTCGGAGTAGAACACAACGTGTGCTGCGGGATACCATTGCTTGCAAACCGTTAACCTGCGGATGTCATCTCGATAGAAGGATGCACTCAAGAGCTCCAACACCCATAGGAGTAATTCAGCAGGTAAGCCTAAAAGATCTATCATGGGGGACGAAGTTTTCTATACTGGGCTGCAGCAGATGATCCCCCAAAGAATGAACTGGTTACAAATGGTGATGTACGGAGTATATATGTAAGCAACATGGGTATCCTGCTGAATATTTTGGTCACTGACGCTACAAGATTTGAATATCAACAAGGTGTGAAAGCGGAAGTAAACAAAGAATTACTAATAGCCTTATCGTGATTAGTTTCTTTCAGCCTCACCATGTGATATCCATTGGCCGGGTCTTTTTTATTTAAATTCGATTTTTCCTCTTTCTTCTTTCTCTCGCTTTCACATCGAAAAAAAAAAAAAAAAATACAATTGAATAATAGCTGGTCTATTAGTTACAGCGTCAGATAGCGCTGGAAAGTGCTTGGAGTTAGCGATCATAACAATACAGGATTGGTCTAGAGCTTATTTTTTTTATTACAATACCGGCGCCACTGTTTTTGAGTGGTATCTGCGATCAGGTATTATGTACAAGTCAAGCATTACTCTACTACAGTCACTCTGTTTTGACTGCAGACGTCGGTGACAATGACACCCTCAATTTAATCAGGTTTCCCAATTTTGCCTATCGATAAACGGACACCAAAGGGAGTTAGAGATTACGGATATGCTCTAGAAAATAGGCTTTAACTATGATTTGGAATGCAAATACCCAAACACTCAACAAATAAAGTGCTGAATTGGCTATTAATGATATCTAACAGGTACACCGTGATATCCGGCAAAATGAATTTCTGTTTCTCAATAGTTTCATATTCCGGAACGTCTGATATGATCATTTATGCCTTAGCAGCACACCTGATTGCCTTGTACTTCTCATCACCTGGCATGAAGTTGCGGCATCCCTGCTGCAGGAGTCGGTAGTCTGGGGTGTCAGAGCAGTCGGTGGTCCTATGAGACGTTAGAATACCTCTATTCATCTGTATCAACAAACTAGGCTCGCCACTTACGCATGGAGGTCGCAGTCGGTGTCCTTGAGGAAGTTGATGGACCTAGTGGCTATTAGCAGCGAATTCTGAATTCTTTATAAACTCATAAAGAAAGTCGGAACATACAGGGCGCCGCTAGCGGTGGTACATTCGCCCTCGATGAGGTGGAGGGTTGATGCAGCAGTGCAGCGGAAATCACTGTGACGGGTGCCCTACTGCAAGTTAGAGAGATATCTGACGTTGATTGCGTTCATTGAAAAGCTTACAAGGTCGTCACCAGGTGCGGCCAGGACAAATGGCACCAAAAGGAGCAAGGTAGTGAAGAACTGCATATTGCCTGTTCAGGAAGTTTCTTGATAAGATATATTAAAAGGAGATTTTGATCGATGACTGGTGATTGTTTGAATGGTTTGTGAGTTGTGAAAGACTCCTTTGCCTCGAGGGAGGATACTCCAGCTATATATACCCGAGCCCTGTGGGCAAAATCGGAGCAAATACCCTTTCATGAAATTAGAACTGGAATTATCCGATCACTAACAGGCAAAGAAATGCAAACATGCATCATGGGAAGGGGATGATTCATGGATGCCGAAGTAAAAGCAGGGTGATTACTCCGTACCCAGCGCAGCGCTCGAGTGCATGGATATCAGTATCCTTGGGCAAACTGCATCCCGTTCAGCTACCAGGGTAAATGTCGCATGCATGAGCATGAAAGGTATATCAATAGCCGTCTTTTTGCCAGAAACTAGCGAGACTGCATTCACCAATTCCGGTAAAGAATGCTTCTTACCAGATATTCGTTAAGATCAGCAAGTGAGCGGCCAAACTAACATATTAGCTGACGGGACGGCCCGAGAAAGCTACCGCCACTAGTTAACTAACTAGTTAGCTAGCTGGTCAAAGCGGAGCTTATTTGGTTGGTTCAGCATCGCGACCTCTTTATGTATAATGGTTATTTGGGTCTACGGTACAGATAGGGAGCCCTACCAAGAAGACAATTACTTTCCAATGGCGGGTAATTAAATTGGACGTAGGTTGCAGTTGGCGTAACTAAATTTAACTCGCAAAGCCCGCCTGGGGAGGGAGGTTGGCTAGAAGAGCAACATGGGTAATCCTTAGCTATAGATCTACATGGTATTATGCAGTCTTACAAATAATAATTATGCAAATATACGAGCCGGCAGGGAAATATTGTTTTTAGGGCCGGAGCGGCATATACTCGGGGTTGATTATGTATAGAATAACTAGCATAATTGCCAACTAATACCCTGGATGTCGACTGCCAAAGAAATGTCCGTACCCACCCAGGTTGGCGTCTGCTGACCATCTCCCGTTATCATGCAACATAACTAGTTAACCGGAAAGAATCCCAAGGGTAAACTTTCCATGTATACCAATGCATAAACATATGCAACTGGGAGAACCCTGGCTCGATTAATGTACAACGTGGCAGGCCAATTGGCCCCAGACTCCAGCAGTCTCCCAGTTCTCTGGTCCGCACTGTGGTTTAATCCAAGAAACCCCTTGCAAAGCAGAGGACTTCAGTGCTCCTAGATCCACTCGGATTCATACTGTGCGTCCGTGCCGCTGACTCTGCGGGCTCTGCATGTGCCTGCAACAAGGTGTAAATCTTCCCCGCACGGCGCCTAGAGCTGCCTGTGTTTCAAGCTGCTGGTATACTCGGTGTCATCTGGCTTCTAGGTATTCATCGAGAGACAGTCATAGCATGGAGTAAAAACGGAGGCATAATGACAACATACGAAACTGTTGGGAAGCACTTGAACACTCCACTAAAACCTCAATTGATCGAAGTTGTCCTTGGGGTTCGATTGACAGCGGCTGTCTGTTTGTATATCCCTGTTTATAGCCCCCTATAGCAGATGCAAATAACTGCTGCAAAGTATGCTGCCCTGTCTCCTAGATTGGGCGAACAGGTAGCCAATCCATATAATGCCCTGTATAGCCTCCCCTTGTATACACCTGCATACGTATGCAGTGAACAAGCCGGCCGTGAACGAATGTCCGCGTATCCTATCGTAGCCGTGAATGTCCAGCAAATGAGATGGAGAAGGTGTATTGGAAGTGGTTCGATGCAGTATTCTATGTAAGCTAGCTTGCTGATGTTGGCTATGGTGTGGCGAGGGCGTCAATACGTTTGATAAAGACTTTTCAGAGTGAGTATGCTCTTATATTGAGGAAATAAATAACATGCATCTATTGTTAGAGTGCCTCCCATGGCTATTAACCAGGGAAATGATTTGGCGAGAGGTTGAACTTTGTTACCTGTGAATTTATTATGTTTTGTCCGCTGCCTTTGAATGAGCCCTTGGTCCAAGAATCAAATATTTAATTAATATTCCCTTTAACGCGTAGTTTTTATTCCACGAAAATGTTACTGGATAGTAATTCACCAGCCAAGGAGTCAGTCCATTCAATAACCATTTATTTTGTGTTTGTGTCAACTCAGCTATCCAGCAACCAAAAACCCCGGCCGACGCACATGGCTGGCGTCAGATGAGAGATGGAGTCTACCCCTTTTGATAACCATGATTCAACTCAAGGTCAAGTATAGACAAATTATCCTCTCTGGTAACCAATGGAAATTCGGTTTTCATTTGTAAAACCTGCCCAGGAAGTCTTCATTACCACAGCCTCGAGGCTGCTGGCAGTAAGGTACGATTTTGAAGTACACCTCATGACGCCTAAATAAAGGATGTTTCATATTGATTAGTGGATGGCTGTGTTAACAGAATCAACTTGGCATACACTAGGGCAGGACGTTGAGCCGAAAGTAGGGAATATCACAGTATATACCTAAAAATGGGTCGACAATCTTATGTCCGAAGTAGTTAAGCTAAGATACGAGAAGCTGGGGCCAAAGAGCCAATATAAGCAACGCTATCATATGGTTAGTAGTTATTAAGATAGCTGATAATAGGTTACTGACTGTCGAGGGGCCAATATCTTCCACCATATCGCCTTCCAAGCTCCCTACATCGAAAGTGTAGGACGGGAACCCAAAACGTAGGCCTTTAACTAGATAATTTACCCCATATATGATATCGTAAAAGACTCGTATATATATTAATTTGCCTTGTGGAGTGCAAACCTGGGCCACTTCGTTGTCTTGCCCTAGCATATCTGAAAACCCGTTTTCATGGAGCACCTTGATGCCACAAAGGGAGGTAGTTTCAGGTTCGCGGTATATCGTAATTTGAGATACGCCAATAAAGCGAGCAGAGGAAACAAAGACGGAAATTGGGCCGATAGGCCCAATTTTAATAGTTGTGATTTGGTATTGTATGGTTGGTATAAAGTTGTTAGTGGATTTATACTGCTTCTCAGGCGCTGGCTGTAGAACTCCAACAACGGATACTCTTCGCAAATCTCCCCAATTATCCTGAACATTAATTAGGTAACGCTGCCTAGGAGCACAAAAAGGAGGTAAGAACTAACCCCAAAGGGACCAGAAGAGCAAAACATTCCGTTAGGTGACATCGAATAATGCCATTCTTTTGTCTTTAAGCATGAGTCACCAAATACAATACATCTCCCGAGGTTCGTGAAAAACTAGAAATTTCAGTTAGATCTTTGCATCCGTACAGAAAGATAGGGAGGCGATAATATATATACTTTAACCGCTAAAGCAGTGGGTTTATCCGACGCTGCACAAGCAATTCCGGTAAACTTTTCGTTTGCCTGAGAGTTGACATAGAATGAAAGCTTCGCTGCCGAATGAAATGGGTCGCCAATTTGAACCTCAATATTACCGAACTTCAGCGAGAATGCCGTAAGAGCTTCAGTCTTTGCATCAACAAAAGCAGCTATAGCATCAGCAGTGTCTAGTTTCCTGCCCACAGGGGATAGAGGCAAAGTGCAGTCAAATAATCTGTGATTTGTTAAGAAAACGGGTGTTAAGTTTTCGGGTGGAAGCCGATGTTTCCAGGATTGAGATTGGTATTGCGATGGGTTGGTGTCATTGAATATTGAGATTTTATGTATTTTAAAAGTCTAGTCGGAATTAGCAAGGAAGGCATCATATGTAGGAAAGTGGAAAAGGGAGATAGAAAACTTACATCAAACGAGGCTATCAGTTTTGCAGGAGATCCAACAGCCCATTCAATCTGATCAAACATAAGGTCACCCAAGCCGGCGAGAGATCCGTACCAGTCTTTTTGCCAGGATATGTTTTTCACCTGCACGCCTAAGATGCCTTCTTTATCAGAAACTATGCGTAGACCACCAAATTCCTGTAGTGATACTGTAATCGTCAATTCACCCGTATATCCAACGGTACCATGGCCAATCTTAAAACCACATAGGTATCTGCGGTCGAGAACATAGCAAAAGTTAAGAGATATTTGACACAAAGAATACAAGTTAATAGTGTGTTCGATCGAAATGTTTGGCCATGGAGATAATGGTGGGATGTAACGTATAGGGGGGTCCGCCTCTATGCTAGAGAAAGACTGTCCCATCTGTTGCAGCAGAGCCTCAACGTTATCCCAGACTACGCTATAGTTGCAAATGCTAGGTATAGACTCCGCGCAGTGATGTACGTTCCAAAGGAGTCTTTCGATCTTGTTTGATATTTCCTGTCTTGAGCCTTCTGCAAGGAATTGTGGTCTATAAGCAAGGTATTTTCGCCCAACGCTAAACCACGTTCTAATATTTGGTTCTATCCCCGTTAGTCTTCTCATATGGCAAAGATCCTGGTAGTTCAGATGTTGGTAGATTGTCTGGATAATCTCTGGTGGAAGATATACTCCGCAAAAAGTACTGCTTATACCACGGAGATCCCCTTCCTCCACCAATTCGGAGTCAGCACAGTCGGCGTTATCAGGTACCTCTGGGCAATCCGGGAACTGCATAGCAGGGAGAATAGGGCCTATATCTCGGAGAACATAGCAGAAGTTGTCAATCCATTTAGGTTCGACTAACTTTGTTCCAATGACCATGGTTACAATTGACCAACATGCGGAATGGGTGACATAGACGGCGCGTCTTGACATAGTCGATGGACTAATAAGCGGGCTAGGGCCCCCACTAATATCCTTGAGCTTTATAAGTTGGAACAAGGCCTTCCACATCTCTACTCCTGAACATTTCGAGTCGATCATCATTCCACACAAATTGCAAGGCCGGTAGTAGTCCATGGTTTCCGAGAATGCCTATGCTGGGCTGTTAGATGTCGATACGGAGTGAGGTGAGGATGAGGATGGATCAAGTGAGGAAGGAAAACGCCGAAAACATTCGGATGTTGTTGTTTACCCCAACTTCGACCTTTGCGCGGTTGGCGACCCGGCTGCTCCTATTGGCCAGGTACGAGACAGTGGAGCGTGCCACGAAAGTATCTGTCATTGGCCGTTTTTCGAGTTGCTATGCCCAATTAGGTTTCAGTAGCTGCGTTTACCTCAAAAAGTGCTTTTTCCTAAAGTTTATTGCTGCATTATTCGTCCATTCGGCTACTTTATAACGTGAGTAAACGTCCAAATTACAGCTAATATAGGACTCAATTTGGAAGACTCTGCAGCTCATGGTAAACGATACCTACCAGAACACGCAAGAAACGGGACCAGGCTGACGCAAGTTCTACGCAGACCGGGAGACTAGGCGATGGGCTCGATACCACCAACGAGGCATGACCACCTTTTGTAGTGGCTAGCTGAGGTGCCCAATGGCTTGATGGCAGACGGGCTGGACTATTTTTTAGGGCGGCTTCTCGACACGGGAGCATATAACAGGTTTCAAGCGTGATAAGGCCAGAGGATTTGCCTATTCTTAGAATATTTGGAACATTCTGACCGACTTTCCGGAATGGTGACAGGTTTTTTATATCCCGAATACTCCTGTACTCATGATTAGACCGGGTACACGAGAGAATTTCATGTTTTGCTGTATGTCTCGAACGCTCATGGACTAGCCGATTGAACAACCAAGGGGCATTGAGGGTACTACATAGTTGCCAACCTTTTCTTTCGAGTTCAGTGTTGAACCGAGTCACGGACATTGCGTCCGATCCGCGAATGGCCAAGCCCCAAATGCAGTATTCAGCAGTTTCTACTCCGCACCAATATTGATGTGTTAGTGTTGATATCGTTGGTTTGCCCCTTGCTGCAACTAAAGTTATTATTATCTCTTCTTCTGATGACTAGCCATTGGGGTGCTGTTGGAATATTCCACTTTAGCTGCGACTCGCACTCATTACCCAAGGTATCCTTGGGGCATTAGGCCTTTTTGTCCCTTGTGGTCCAACAGATGCCTCTCTAACTAGTTATGAGGTTCATTGACCATGAACTTGTACAATCATTGATTCTTCAACTTCTTGCTAGGCCCGACGGTTGGTCTGGCCTACTTGCTGTCCTGTTGATGTCTTGTAAGCTGTAAATAAGGCTTACAGACAAACCCTGTGTGGCTACCTAAATTTGGGACGCGTGACAGCATGGCACAAGGCCAGTGTTACGTGTGGCTGCGAATACTTGAATCGACCGAACTAATGCAGGCCTAAATTCCGAGGCGCTCTGCGCAAAAATATGTCACAGAAAATGTGCTGATCCCCAGACGCATATTCGTGCCTACATGCATACAAACAATACCAAAATAGCGATTGCATGAGATATCTGAGAGCGGGACAAAAGGCCCTGTACGGCCACACGCCCAGGCATAAATAAGGGGATGGCACCCTCCTTTTCTTCAATGATATCTTCATCATCTGCCACCTTCGACTCCCACAGCCCTCAAATACCAAAAAGCTTTCAGTTTACACCTTTTCAGATCTCCAGCCTGAGCCGTCAAAATGGTTTCTATGAAGCTTGCCACCCTTTTGCTCATCCCAAGCGCCCTTGCTGGGATGGTTAAGAGACAGGAGCCAAATCCAAATGTGCGTTCCCCCAGTTTTGCTTCAACTCAGGTTTCAAACCTGAGCTTTTGATGTTGGCGCTAAATAGACCCATTGCATCAGGTCGTAGTCTTTGAAGAACCTGGGTGCGGTGGCCAGCCACAGCCTATTGCCCTGAACACCTGCATTGAGCGTTTCACTGACGAACGGTGAGTACCTAGTATCTTCTAGGACAGCAGCTTGACCATGCCAAGCGAATTATTGGCGAAATATTTAGCCACTAATCATCCTGCTGTGTTTCTCTAAATAGCGATATCCAAGCTATCGGAATCCGTCCCGGATTTTACTGTACAGCTTATCGGTATGTACGATTTCAAATAATTCAACTAGTTGACTATGCCCTTTATCCTTTCTTCTTCTCCCTCTTCCTTTTTTATTTGCTAGCTAGTTGCCACTAGTCATTGGTGAATAGTTACTGACGACGGTATTATTAGGGGCCCGCAATGCCAGACGCCGTATCGTAATTACGGTCCTGGATGTAATACTCTGGATGGGGGAGCATCAGCAATTCAGTGTTTCCAAAGATCCTAAGGGGTTTGAAAAGCGTCAAGCAGCAACAAGACATGTACTTTTTAGTCTCCTAACTACAGTACGACCGCTTTTCGGGGTATTGCAACTACACGCGTATAACTCTCTCTTATAGTCAGTCATTTTTGTTTTGTACGCAGACGTTATTTATTATCTACTGTTTCCGTCCTTTTGTAACTCATCTCTCTGGCAACCAGTGTGATGGCCTTGCTGATTCATGATGCCGTTGCCGACGTAGTTGAACAGTACATCTCCGAAATAGCGGCATCTATAAGCTATCGCATTGATCTCCCTACATTTGAGCTCTCAGCAGGCATGTGTATGTACGGAGTATATGACCGCTTAACTACCTAGAAATGGTTCTCCAGGTGGTCGAGTCTAGAGGTGAGTCGCTTGTATCTATTCCATCCCGTGCCATTCCAGGGATTTTGACCTACCCTTTGCCCTGAGAGCACTTAGGTAGTTAGCTAAGGGTTGGCTAACTAGTTAACTGAACGATGCGGCTTGTTAAGTCTTTCCATATATCAAGGTCCGCCCTCCTGGCCTGATTGCACACTGCCAACAAAGAGGCCATGCATCACTACCTCGTGGCACAAGCTCAGTGTGACCACGAATACTTGAGTCCGACACTAAATTGATGCCAGCCCCAATATTGAGAAAGCGCCACACGGGAAAGTCATCTCACTGAATAGCGCTGATCCTGGATTGTGTACCTAGCTACCGATCTTGATCTACATGGTCTGGTTATGAATACGGAATAAGCTAGAATGGTGACAGCTCGAGATAAGAGAAGACATGTTATGAGGGCCAGAAGTCCAAAGATATGAAGAAGGTTATCCGTCTAGGTCCAAGTCTATGAAACATATGACTGTCGGTGTTGGCCCGGATATCTGCGAAGAAACCAGCAAGTTAAGTAGCTCCCCAAACAGAAGCTTAGTTATGGCTGGTGAGTTATTGGTGATATGGCCAGCAAGCAGTTGACCGCTAACGTTCTCTTGTGTCTCTCCATAATTGACCCCCCATCTATCTATATCCCCCTTATGTATCTATATAACTGCTTATTATTGTATTATTGTATAGTTCTCGCGGCGACTTCGAACCTGCGGGGATGCACAGCAAGATTTATTAGCGTGTCCCCAACTCCAAACTTCCCCTCATCCTCGGCCCCAGACAGCCGCCCGCCGACCAACGAGATAAATAAACTATCCTCAGCTTCGGCTTCGGCTTCATCTTCAGCTCCCAACTTCAAGCCAGCCATCTTCTTTTTATTTACGGCTTTGCCTGGATAATGCTTGCTAAGAAACTATTCACAGCTCCTCTTCAGTCTCGGTTTATACACTCTTCCGCCATGGCAAACGCCAGGACCGCCCGCATCGGTCAGTCTCTCGTCCTCACCCCCCTTGGCATCTCGTCCATACTGACCTGTTAATAGCAAACCCAGCACTATTGTACGCCACTACCATTCAAACAGTCATCTAGTGATGTCTACTTGTCGAATGTATGGCTAACTGGCTCATATCTAGCATCTGTGACATCCAAGAGAGGTTCCGAACTATCACATATGAATTCCCGAAACTGTGAGTCCATCCAAGCAATTGCTACACCGTCATCGCTACCAACTGACATATCAAATCTTAGAGTATCAACGTCTCTAAAACTCCTACGAGCTTCCAAGCCTCTCAACATTCCGATATACGTTACCACACAAAACTCTGCTCGTCTGGGCTCTACCGTTGCCGAGTTCGATGAATACCTACAGCCATCAAACCCCAACCTGCGCATCAACTGTGACAAGACACTTTTCTCCATGATAACGCCGGAAGTCAAGGAGAAATTGCCAAACGCTGCCACCGAAAAGCCACTTGATGCCATCATTGTCGGCCTTGAGACGCATGTTTGCGTTACCCAGACAGTTTTGGACTTGCTATCGTTGGGCCATCGGGTGTATATCATGGCAGACGGAGTGAGCAGTGCCAATGTTGAGGAAAGACATGTTGCGTTGGCTCGGCTGAGGGATGCTGGCGCTATCGTGACCACAAGCGAGAGCATCTTATTCGAGATCATGGGTGACTCCAAGATTGGAGTCTTTAGGGAAATTAGTGGCATTGTCAAGGAGACCGGAAGGGACACCAAGGGTGCTCTGGAGGCATTCTGTGCTGCTAGTAAGATCTGATTGATGTATATGTTCTGTCTACCAGTATATACTACTTTTGATTACTTAAAAAAAATAAAGCAGTAGAGTCTTTATTCGTTAATTTTCGTTACTATTTTTACCCCTATCCAAGTCTCTATCTCCATGTTCTTTCTCCAAGCATATTCGCAGCTATTCAAAAATGGATGAAGTTAACCTTTGCAGCCTTCTTGAGGACATCCAGTGAAGCAGCCTTGGACTCAGTTGCCTGTGTTCTGAGGGAGTACAGCTCGTCCAATAGTGCTGGGACAAAGCTACCTGGCCCCTTGACACCATTACTCACGGCTCGTTCGGCAGCGATTTCAAACATTAACAGGGCGGATAGGACGGCAAGGAGCTTATCCTGCTTCTCCACCGCAAGGAATGCTGACGTGACCGTACCGATGGCGCATCCGGTCTGGTAGTTCAGGTTTAATTAGCCCATTGCTATGTAGTATTGATACAGGTGGGACACTTACACCAGTAACTTGGCCTAGAAGTGGGTGGCCGTTGTGGATAGCAAGAGTACGGGCACCGTCGCTGAGATAGTCGGTAGGACCGGTAAGAAGGACAATACATCCTGTACAAAGATTCAAGGTTTAGTTAAATCGATAAAATCCGCCTCAACAAAATAAAGGGTCAACCTACTCTCTCTGAGGGCGAGGTCTCGAACCAGCATTGCCTTTTCCTTGATATCCAGTGTACTCGGGCCACTATCGACGCCAACCTGGTTTCCGGTATGTCCATAGATATGGCCTATCTCACTCTCGTTGCCCTTGATGAGGTCGAAGTAACCGCCCTGCATCAGTGTCTTTACAGACTGTCGTCGAAGCTGGGTAGCAGCAGCTCCAACAGGGTCAAGAACTACCGGATTACCTGCCTCATTGTAGGCACGGATACCTTGAAGATAATTATCCAAGCTCTCGCTGTTCAACGTGCCCATATTGATGAGCAAGGAGCCCTTGTTCTTAGCCAGATCAGGGGCTTCAAGGCCATATCCTGACATAATAGGCGACGCACCACTGTTGACCAAGTTAGAAACTGACCCCCAAGTAATGGACTAAAGGGTATACTTACATCGCAAGAGCAACGTTAGCAGCAAAATTAGCCACAACATAGTTTATCATATTATGGCATAGAGGGTGAACGGTGGCTACTTTTCGAACAAGTCCATCGACCCTATCGAGAAGCAGATGCTCTTCGTTCTCACGAGGAGGGACCGGGAAAGTAGCAAATGCAGGGTTTTGGCTAACTTTCTTCAAGAATTGCGCAGCAGCTGCACGGGGGTTTTCTGCTGCCATTATCGCACTGACGATTGCAACTCCTTCAAGGCCCTTTTTGGTGTCTTGAGACTGATAGATTACGCGCTGCACATTGCTGAGGTTGATGCCGCCAATGGCCACAGTGCCGACTTTAGGGTTTAGAGACGCAACGCAGCTGAGAATACGTTTGACGCCTGCCGTGCCGATAATGGATTTTGTGTTGGTTTTGCTGTCATCATTGTTAACTTCATTGGGTATAGATAAGTGGCCTATCAGGCTGATACGTACGTTGGAGTAGCATAGACGGTCCCAATACCAAGGTAGTCGGCACCGCCTTCAACTGCAGCCTGAGCCTCTTCTACTGATGAAACTGTGACTCCAATGATGGTTCCTTTGGGTAATATCTTTCTCGCAAGAGCAATGTCTAGAAAATAATGTTAGTCAAAGCAAGAAATTGAAAGGAAAGACCGTAAAGCGGTACCCATGTCGTCTTGGCCTAGGTGAACCCCCTCGGCCCCAACGGCAAGAGCAACATCGACTCGATCATTAATGATCAGGGGGATGCCGTGGTTTAGGGTAATCGCATGTAGTTTCGTAGCTGCTTCGATCAAATCTTTGGTGTCACTATGCTTGTCCCGATATTGGACAATCGTAACCCCTATACACGTTGCAAGCAATAGGTCAACTTTTGAACTTAAAAGGATATTAAGCATCCGGTTTGCAACATACCGCCTTGGACAGCTTGCTCGACTACAGAGCAGAGATCTCTCTCTCCAAGGATCTTCGGAGTGGAATCCGTGACCAGGTACAGGGAGAGATTCACAGGCATTTTGAGATCTTATCTGTGCAGGGGTAAGTCTTATAACGTATGGAAACGGCAAATCTAGAGTATGGGTATATGTGATAGAGATGTAGGAACGAATTTCCGAGAGAACGATATATTCAAATACACGGAGATCCCTCTTGTAGTTCAAGGTAGTTGGCTGATGACAGGGTGGCTGTTAGATGGAATCTTTGGAAGATGGCCTAAATATTTCACTTTTCTAAATTGATCAGTGATGTTACCGTAACGCAAAGATAAAACACAGAGAAGATGACGGCGGCAAAAAGAACATTTCACTCCTACAGTCTGTGCCTGGTAAACAATAAATTTGCAGACTAAATCGTATCAAAGATGCACTTCTCAGGATGTTTTGTCGCAAAGGGCAGTAACTGGCCAATCACAGGTTGTGAGAAGAGTTTTCACGTGACTCATACTTTAAAGGCTATCAGCGGGATTACATCATAGCCCCCAAATGTCTTATAATTATTGGGTATAGCTTTTAAAGTATTATCCAATAAGAATTAGTTATCTTGGATAATATCGTAATATAGCCAGTAAACTAATCATTATTTTCAAAGCCCATCCAATAATATTTTAGCGCTTATTAGCCTTACTAACTACAAATAAAACGTCCAATATCAGAAATATGCAGGTCCAACAAGATCATCATCCTTCGTTCTTTCTGTGGCAACAATGAGACTCTGAACTCACATCCCTACAGGGCTGCTCGTCTATAAAGAGAGTAGGGGAAAGCCATGCTGTCGAGCATATGGCTCGGTGTGAAACCTGGTGATCGGGTTGTACCCAAATAAAGCTTCCAAGATACAGATGTGTGTGCTTGTCAGATGTTGATTATTATGAAAAATCCATTTGCTGGAACTGCATATTGCTAGGGTATCAACAGTGTCGTAATATCAGAAATCGACGGTATACTATGATTTATCACTGCTTGGCCCAACAGCCCATGTGCTGCGCGGGGTGTAAGGAAGTGCTTCTGCGTAGCGGTATACGGTGGTGGGTTTGCTCACAGTGTAGGGGTGAGTGCCGGGATTCTTGTCATCCCATGTATATCGAGAAACTAAAATTTTCACGGGATAGAGCCTTTCGTTCAATATATAAGTAACGATATCTTGAAATTTGTAAACCAGTTTGGAATTTCTCCCATCCTCCTATAATTCATTCCAAGAAAAAAGTGAGCCCTCTATTCAATCTTCCTTTCCAGAACTCCTGTGATCAGTAGGCGTTCTGGCACACTCGCTGCTTCCAGGGCCTGGATCAAAACATAAGCCCAGAGTCCCAATGCCTTCTGGAGTAGAAATGCCTAAAATCCAGTCTCTACTGCACCACTTCCGATGGAGCCTGCCTCTACTTCATCAACGTCACAGAGATTTGCCCTGTAATCGCGCGAGAGTTCGTACTGCTCTATTAGATTATCCAGGCTCAGGTGCGCCCATGGTGCTGCAAAGAAGTATTTATATTGGCCCTGGTCATAATAACGGCTGAAAGATTGTGCGCGCTGAATTCCACCAAGTTTAAGCCGATCCATAGCCGGATCTGTTTGGGTATGAAGCCATTCCGTGCATCTACGAAACGCTGGGTTCTTGCACATTGAAACAGCAGAATGTGAGAGCTTTCCATTTGCACAGAGAGTGAGCAATCTATTTCGGATCCAGTATCTATCACTGACAGTTCTTTGGTCTATCTTAGGTGGGTACTGCCATCGCCCTTGAGTCAAGTGTAAGCTCGCCATGCTCCATGGGCCAAATAGAAATGCTCATACATGCTTTAATAAATTGCAGTCACCGCAGTTAGCTGGGTGTCGGCCATTGGCCTCTATGCAATCCCAGGGAAATAGATCTTGGTAGAGGTAAAGGTGTGTTCCGAAACATCCCCAGTCATACCAATATTCTTGCTGTGTGTCAATTATATCAACATCATCGTGGAGGCCAAAATAAAACTGGAAGAGGTATTCTTCTGTTAATCCGACTAGAGCTTCAAATTTGAATTTTGTCTTCGATCTGGCATAGCCAGCTGAACGAGTGACAAAGCTCATAACATAGAGGGGGCTGGCATCATAGTTAGGTGGAGATACCAGAGGAGCGAATGTCGAGAGCGGAAGCAGAGCATCACAGAAGGTCTGACAGTTGTTTGAGATGAGTAAACAGGCTATTTCAGTAGAGTTGTCGAGCAGACTCACTGTTTGGCTCCGTGCTCAATTAGAATCGGTCCAATTCGGAGACTCATATGAACATTTGCAAAGGGGTATTTCTCCGTAAACTCTCCGAAAAAATGTGGAATATCTTTGTCAGCGATAGGCTCTTCTACCGCGATGCTAGTTCACATTTTATGATCTCTATCGGGCCCAGGTTGGGTTTCTGTATTGATAGCCTTAGGCCGCCAAATACTTGGGTCCCTTACAGTTCTTCCCGCTAATACTCCACTGGGCTGCCCCATCTTGGACCTTTTTTCCTTGTGGGCTTTGTAATAACGGTTCGCATATTATTATATTTCGCTTCTGCTACCACGTCCCCAAGTTTCAGTAGGCCACATGAGATCTTGCCAATGCCTCCTTTGCGGTGTTCGGCTCCTTTATCAACAGGGAATAGGTTGAGAGGAACACCATGCTTCCTCGAATAACCATGCCACAGTTAGTACATCGGCTCGGTTCTAGCACCAGCATACCAGTTGGAGTGCATTGGTCCAATCTGAGTTGTGGTATCGCAGGCCGTTTTCAAAACGGGAGACGATTTGGGGCAGGTCGATGCTCGACAAGTTTCTCAATATCCAGAAGCCCGAGGCCCTGCAAGAGCAATCTTGCCCTACGTTGGAGAATTGGAGAGTTGACATCAAGAGCCGCGATGGCTTCTGCTCCCGTCTTGATATCTCGCTTGAGTTTTGTGGCATTCTGGCCTAATGCCTTCGCTAGTAATTTAGAATGCTCTTGTATAAAAGTTTTCCCGGCATCTTTTTTTAAACAAGTATCGTCCACCGCGAGTGCTTTACTGTCATTGCTAACCTTGTTGAAAAATGTGCCGAAGACATGGATGGAGCTGTCAGACTCGTCTTCAAGTTTGATGTCGCTGTTCTCAGGAAGTTGCCATGCCTTCAGTGCTAGAAGTACGGCCTCCAGCTCATGCTCAACTCCGTCCCAATATAAATTTTCAAGTTCTCTAAGAAGATGATGCTTTGCTTCGCCAATGGGATGCCATGCCGTTCTTTTGCACATAACCCCTGCAACTCTTGCATCAGCGAGGTGGCATGGGTGGCTTGGCTGCATAAGCTGTGCAATGCTTGTGATTGTGCCTTCGGCTCTATCAACACTCAACATCCAATGGGGGTGGTAGTGCAGGTTGCACAATTATGGAAGTATTCCTGTCAGAATTAGTGAGTCAATTTGTAAAAGAAAAAGGAAAAATAGTACACTTTCCAGCCCTAGTCTAGTAGCCTACTACCGATTATCGAGTTCCAAGGCGACAAGTGGGTAGCGGGCAATAAGGGTAAAAAAGGCTTCATTGAATACGGCCAACGATGGCTCAATGCACAAATAGAGCAAGAAAGAGCAATACGAGGTATGAGATTATACCCCTCATCGAAAGCAGCGGTGCGGCGAGGTCTTTGACGAACGACGAGAAAAAGATCCGGTCAGTAATCTTCTACCTATCAAATGTAAGTATTGTTCTTGGGCGACAGATTGTAAGGAGCTCATTTGCTTTCCCCTTTACTAGGTTGGATAGATCGCATATCTTTTCTTCACGTTGATATATTTCAGGGAATACCCTGGACCTTTAGCTGGCATAAACCAAGCACGAGGATGCTGACTTTAGGAGTTTCGACCTGTTATTTAGGAGACTTCGAGGTTCATGGTTCAATAGATCGACGGATTGGCATGCCACCATAGCTAGCGCAGCAGCGACTACCATCGACTACCATCGAATCCCAAAGGGCCAAAGCCCTTCACTCGAAGAAATCTCCTTGTGGTATATGAAAAATTGATACCAAGTAGTTATCGACATTGCTACGAAATTTGACATAATTGTAGGAGAGTTACTCAAACTCTTCAGATGTGCCATATTGGGCTGGTATTTGATCGTACCCTGTAGTCGCGGGGTTATAGCTAGCATGTGTTCGTCGATAAAAGGAACTAAGGGCTTCAGTGACTGGTCCTCTATCCTTTAGAGTACAATATAGCGGTGCTTGAAGTGGCTCTTCAACTTGCATCTATACACTATACCCGCGTCTAAAGTAGACATAAGTCCCGGATGGTATACACATCCACATTCTCCTGTGCTTGCTTCTACCCAACCTACGAGTCGAAGTGGCACCATCAAGAGCGACGAGACTGGTTGAAGCAAGCAGTTGGGGTATTATGAACTCCATAATTGGGTATTGCCATAACCTGCGCCCAGAATATCCACCGACTGCACCCCGGCCAGGGGCTATGAATTATTGAGAGTCGCTGAGCTGGAGGCTACGGTAGTACCAAAGGCAACGGAAGACATCCTTAAAAACACAAGTAAACCATCCCGGCGAAGACAAGTTATGTTGTGGTCTGCCTAAGAAGAGACGATGTTGATGTTTCGATCCTAGTCTTTGCAATCAGCGACTATCTTTCGCTAGCCGCGCGCACGGATGGCGATAGTCTGATTATAATTGGATATTTACACGCCACTGCGTTTAGCATCAGGTGATGCATCACATGACGCTTAGTCATCCGCGAGATTTTCCAGCGCTAAAAACTTCCTCGACTTCTTCGTTTTCTTCCTGCCTCAGCTCTTTCTCTCCCCACCAGCCGTTTCGACAACCTCATCGCTCTCGACGCTGCCGCATCTACAGATCCTGAGCCCGCATCCCATCGCCAGCTCGTTAACTGCGTGTGTCAGACCTCGATTGCCTCCTTTACTGCATCCCTCCACGTCTTCTCGCTGCTCTTTGCCGAGTCGACCTCTTGGTTCTCCTCATCGCTCAGAGAAGCCACTCTGCAGGATTGAACACCTGTCTATGTATTCGCCCTACGAAAACGCTTCCGAACACTACCTGCCGCTCGCGCTGCAACCTTTTCGCCCTGTGCGAAAACCTTGTAGTGTCCATTCAAGATCCTGTGGTTGAAACCGCCAACACACACTCGTCACCCGTCAGCATCCATCTCGATATCAGAAACGAAGGATCAGTCCAGGCACCGTCGTTTCGCTCTAAACACAGCTGCTTCTTTGTCGTTACTACGCATGTCGTGTAGTAGTATCCGTCTCTCTCCTCATCCTCTCTCCGCGTTTGACTCAACTCGCTTAAGCGTATAAACAAACTATCCTACCAGCAATATGGCTAACATCAACATTCGTCGGGTATGTTATCAAGTTCACTTCTTATTTCTTGCAGGTTGAAGGAGAAACATCATTCTAACATATCTACCTCTTGAATAGGATATTTCCGACCCCTTCTACCGCTACAAGATGGAGCGTCTCCAAGCCAAGATCGAGGGCAAGGGCAACGGTATCAAAACTGTCGTTGTCAACCTGAACAGCGTTGCCCAATCACTCAGCCGCCCACCATCATGTACGTTCCCGCACATTCCAAACCCCTTTTATTGGCTGCACAGGTAGAGCTAATGCACATCAGATTTGATCAAGTACTTTGGCTTCGAACTTGGAGCCCAGGCAAACTCTAAGCCAACTGATGATCGTTGGATCATCAACGGTGCCCATGATGCCCCAAAGCTTCAGGACTACCTGGACGGTTTCATCACCAAGTTCGTTCTCTGCAAGAAATGCAAGAACCCAGAGACCGACGTCGTCATCAAGGATCAGTCTATCATCCTTGACTGCAAGGCTTGTGGTGAACGCTCGGATGTTGATCCCCGTCTCAAGCTTAGCTCCTTCATCTTGAAGAATCAACCAAAGAAGGGAAAGAAGGATAAGTCAACCAAGAAGTCTCGCAGAGAGAGGAACAAGGAGAAAGGAGATAAGGCCGAGAATGGAGAGAACGGAGAAGCAAACGGTAGCCCAGGAGACAGCAATGGCTCTGATATGGGAGATGAGAATGGTGACATGGGTGTTGACGCTCACAGCGATGACGAACTTACTCGTCGAATCAAGGCGGAAGCCGAGCAAATCGAGCACAACGACGACATCGAGGACGAAGAGTGGGCCGTGGATGTTTCAGAAGCCGCCGTCAGGGCCCGTGCTCAAGAACTCCCCGATGATCTGAAGCGCACTCTCGTCTTCAACGATGGCGACGGTGACGAAGATGGTGAAAACGCAGTGGCTAGCTCGTATGATCAGTTTGGAAGCTGGATCATCGAGGAGGCTGAGAAGTCCGACAAGGGTGCCGCTGGTATCAGCGATGTTGACATCTACAAGAAGGCCAAGGAGTTTGGGATCGAGTCCAAGCACAAGACCCTCTCTGTCTTGGCCCAGACCCTTTTCGATGACAACATTGTCAAGCAGATCCCAGTTCGTGCTGGCCTCTTGAAGAAGGTAAGCTCACACTTCATCTTTAAATGTCTTTTTCCAGTACTAATAATGCCTGTAGATGATTACTTCCGAACGCCACGAAAAGGCCTTCCTTGGAGGCACTGAACGCTTCGTCGGCAAGGACCGTCCAAACCTTCTTCCAGTGGTGTCTTCTATCCTTCTTGCCTACTACCAGCACGACTTGGTTTCCGAGGAGCTGCTCAAGAGCTGGGGAAGCAAGGCCAGCAAGAAGTATGTTGACATCGCTACCAGCAGGAAGGTTCGCAAATCTGCCGAGAAGTTCCTCGAGTGGCTCGAGACTGCCGAGAGTGAAGATGAGAGCGAGGAGGATGATGAGTAAAGCATCACTGTTTGCCTACTCCATCACATTCTCTAAAGCAGAGTAAACAAGTACTCGATCCACTCGTTTCTTTTACTTTCCAAAATCTCCTCTCTTGCCAAAATGATTTTCGGTTGTTTTTGTTTCCTTTTTCCGGATGTACCCAATTTGTCACGCCTCTCATCTATGTTTTGAATTGTTGGTGATCATTCATTAGTTGTATGCCTTAAGATTGTATGTTGCTTCAAATTCCTATTTGCAATACTACACTCGGTAGTCGTCACCATTTCGGGTTTCATCGATACAAAGATTCTCTTCTCTCTATCTAGCTATACTTTTAAACCAGTTACTTTGCTTTCAATCACCTATCCCTCGGCCTTAGCTATATCGCCGTTAAAGATACGAATTAACCTGTAGTATGTCTCAAAACACAGGCGTAGCAAACCTCAAATTGCCAGCTTCCCCATGCGCCTGGTTTCCTAGCAACCGTTCTAGTTCATGGTTCATCTTTCCTGCAAGAGCCCGCAGCTCCTGGTTCAAACCTAGGCTAGCAGCATTTTGGTTGCCATGATGCCTTGCTCTAGCCTGTGCACAAGCCAACCAGGCCAAGTCTGAATTCCAGCCGTCCATAGCCCGAAGAGCTCGCTTGGCCTCCTTCAGAGTCCCTTTGCTCCATCTAGTTTCACTATCAGTATCTTCATCGCTCAAGGAACCATCGGTATTCCCATCCTCCTTCCATGTATTAGCGGGAAATAACTCTGGGTGGAAAAAGGTTATCCAATCCGCTAAAGCATAACAGATCTCATCCCCTATATCAGCGGGTAGGGTGACATGCGACAGGATAGTAATATATAGCGTCGTAAGTGCTTTCCAAAGAGAATGATGACGTGTAAAAGATTTGGTGATATTGAAGGATGTCCGAGGCAGTGGCTGACTGGGCTCGTCTATTACCTTAACAAGCCCTGCAGATGCACTGCTGCCAGACACATCTGCATCTTGTATTTGCTTTTTCGCCAATTGCTGACGTTGCCGTTGTACTGATTTTTCTGCATCTTCTTTAACCTGGGTCCAGCAGGATTTATAGAGGCGCTTCCATCGAGGGAATTCATGCTCGATCCTGGAGGACATAAAGTCCCCTGCCCCTTTGCACATTGTCCCGATAGCGGTGCAGGAAGCAACAGTGACGAAGGTTTCCTCTTGAATACCAGAGTCGCTTATCTGGGCTTTGTTTTCTTTCAATGATGTTGAAAGAGCTTGGGATTCCCCGCCGGTTTGAGCTGGTAGTGTAATCCTTGCACTCACGGATGGCCACAGGTCATTGATAAGGGGCAAGAAGGTTTTCTCGTTCTGAGATAAGATAGGGAGACCACGCGTCAGTATGGATAGAAGGGACCGTCGTAAGAAGGGGGAAGGGGAGGAGAGATGCGGTGGTATGGATTTTATAATGTTTAATAATAATGTGTGAGGTTTGCTCAGGGGCTTTTCTTCGGGTTCTTGGGGTTGTTCAGACTGATCAGCCTGGGAGTTTATTTCCATTTCATCGTCTTCACCAGTCTGTTTGTCAGAAAGAGATGACCACGGCTTTTTTGGATGTGGTTCTAGAGGTTCAAAGCTATCCTCTTCAATTTTTAGTTCTCTTGAACGTTTCTCGCGTCTTTCTTTGAACCACGCTGCTATGGTGGAAACCGATCGAGGTTGTGCTGGCAATCTTCGCTGTTGGTGAATTGTGCTTTCATCCTCATTTGATATTGCAAGAAGTGCAGGTTGTTTTGCACCTTCATCCACAATAGCTCCCAGTACACCAAAGAGAAGTTCAACTAGTTTGGGGTATCCGTGGAATGCATCTAAAACAGCAAATATAGAGCCAATTATATCATCCAAATGGGGGATCAAACGAGAGCCGGAGAGCTTTATCATCATGAGGAGAACCTTAGGGGCTTGAGGCGAGATGTCGAAGGTATTCAGCTTCAAAGCCACGGAGTTTATCAAGTAGTCAACATTCTCAATCACCAATGTGCTTGCGTCGGGATAGTTGCAGGATGCAGTGACGATATTAAGGCAAGTCATTGCGTGATTCTGCAGAGCTGGATTACTGGATCCCATCAGTTGCAGGATCGGGTAGAGTGTATCGATTAATTCGGGTCGGAAGGACTCTTGAAGCTGTCCTGCCTGTAAGGCAACCGCCTCTAGTGCGAGGGCGGGTGTACGCCAATCATCCGAGTCGACGTTTTGTAGGTCGGTTAAGATTGGCAACGCTAATGAATAAATCTCTTCTATTAATTGCGGTCGTGATGTTGAGGAGAGCTCGGAGTCAACGTTTAGAATGTCATCTATCATTAGGGTATCGGGGGATGCGCTTTTGAGAAACGATAGCGTGAGCCAGAGCGATGACACGAAAGAATCTCCTGGCGACCGATAAAGCTTGTTTAGCATAGATTTGGTCATGCTGAGCGATAAATCAGCATTCGATAGTCTAGATATCATAGTTTGAAGTTCGAGTAGGGTTTCCCTCTGGCTTTGGCGTTCGAATATTACCGGCTGGAAAGTATTCGAGTGACTCTGGCCAGTAAGACTGAGGGCTTCCGGCCTGGCATCGATAGGAGGTCCTAGTGGCTGCAGCGGCCTTTGCGAAGACATCAATATGGCAGATATACTGTCGTGCAGACTTGATGTCATCGTATCATCGAGGATATCCGATTTAATTTGAGTATCCGATAGTGCCTCAAAAGCCGTGGATATCTGCCTTATGACTCGGCTTTTAGCAGCATCATCGGCAGATTGCATAACCCGTGGAAGTGCGACTATCCAGGAGTGTAAGTTGGATTTGAGAATGCTAGAGACGGTTTCCGAGGACGTTAACAGGTGCTTCAAAGAACGATATGCCTCGTCGTCATCTTTCTCATCAGCATGGTGTGCTAGGACCACAACAGTTTCAACCATCATTGACAATGAGTCGGCAAGCGAGTTTGGACAGTCCTCAATTACCATTAAACATAGACCAAGGAGAGAGTGACGGACTTCATCCTTTTCATGGTTTCTGAGCCGAATTACATGTGAGAGTGCTAGCTTGATCTGTGAGGTTGTTGCATTTAACCATGACTTATCAAGGACAAGGGGCCCAGTATCGGTGGTAGTGGGCATCTCATCAGTTGTAGAAGACACAGCCAAATCATTCAGGACAAATTTAATGTTCATCGTCAGTCCTTCGAGACAGGCGCACAGAAGCTTATATGGCCTGCGCTGCTGGGCGGTACCGCGAAGAACCTTCGTCAGAGAGGAAACTGTACGAGGCAAAAGACTAGCCAGCACCACCCGGTCCGTGATACGGGACTGTAGCGAGTTTAAGGCGACAGCAGCTGATTTCTGGATGTCGTTCGAGGCCCCGTCGACAACAGCTTCCAGCAGCACATACACCGTTTGGTCTATAATAGTGGACGGCCCAATTTCATTGAAGATAGAAGCTGCCGCAGCGGGACCATGTAGCACACGGCACATGGATGACACACAGTCGAAAGCTGCAACTATAAGCTCCTCTGACCGTGGTCTACTCGGGGTTGAAGTTCCCTGGCCCTGAGCTTGTGCGGGCGGCCCACCTGAAAGCAGAGTCATTAGAATGAGAAGCTGCTTGCCTAGCTCGGCAGAGAGCTTCGAACGCCATCCTTTTTCTATCAGGATCTGTAGGCATTTCAGAGCTAACTCGACACATTGTGCTGAGATACGCCGGCTCTCATTGAATATTTGAGAGAGTGGGAAGAAGGAATATTCAGCAAGCTTCTCATCTAGTCCATTATATGACACGACTTCTTTCAGGGTCTGATATAGGGTATCTAAAGCTCTGAGGACCTCATTTGATGACGCCAGGTTCCCCTTAAATTTTAATGTGATGGAGCTAAGCTCTACACATGGTGGGCGTAGCTATAGCATTGTCAGCACCAGGGCACACATTCAATAACATACAGCACGGGACGTACCTTTTGAAAAGTCTTCTGACGTATGTCCTCCATCACAGTCTACTTTCACATTATCCTGCCTCCTGTCATCTTGTAGAGCTTGATACATCTAAGCTTGTTGTTTGTTCGCCTTCTCGTCGTTTTCCTGGTGGACGTTTGAAATGCTGACTAATGAAATAACACGTGACTGTTTCCTAGTGGGCCCGATAAAACGCGTAGTTACAATAGCAAGACTCCTCAACATGTTTTCAGTGTTTCTTTAATATGTTTCACTTTTCAAGATATTTTTCCAACGGCCTATTTAACTATACCAACGACTCCAGGTTAAATCTTTAAAAATGGGGACTATATTTTTAATATAGATCGATATATAACTGGTTATATTACAAAAAATTGTGAATTGGTCGCAGGTTTATAAATCCGCAGACGACAGAATTCTTTCCAGGCCATGCTCCCTTGACCGACGCAGACGATCCTGGGACAGACAGTTTGGCAAATGCACCAAGTGGCCTCGCTGAACCCAGACAAAAACCATGTATTGGATACCCGCAATAGCAACTGCAACCACGCTGATTAGGGCGGGCCATCCGAATTGATCTGGGTGGAAGAATATGATAGTTGAGATATAGGAGCATATCTCAAAGAAGCTTTGCCATGCAGCCTCAGTTGACGAGAACGCACCCCGAGCCTTTGCTTCAACGCCCTGGAGACGAGTTGTATCATTTTCAGTCAGCTTGAAACTGTGCCTGGTTATTTATCTGGCAGCGAACTCAACTCACCTCCTGAACGATGAGATCGGCACACAGTTCAAACCCTCTCAGCCCTATACGGCTGAGAATTGTGCCGCCTACAAGACCAGATGCTGATATAAAAGGGTAGTCGGCGAATCTCCAAAAGATAGAAAATCCAGCTCCTAAGCAGACAATCTGCCAGTTAGCTAACCACAAGCCAGCCCGAGTTGGCCATATTCTTCCCATCAGCCAGGGCGCAATCCATGTGGCGAGCACCTCAAATATGACTGATAGGGTCCTAGTAATGGCAACATGAGCTGAACTGTAGCCTGCGGCCAGAAGCCAAGTGACCATCTGGCCACCGAATGATAGAACCGTGAGGTAGAGCAACGCGCCGGCAAAGGATGGGAGGAAGACAGCGTGGTGGAAATAGAAGTTGAAATCTGATAGAGCTTTCTGGGTGATGTTGCGGCAAGAGCCCCAGATACGGATAACGAAGCTGTGTCTCTCCGATGCCACGTTGGGGGGTATATTACTGGAAATCCCCTTTGGTATCTGCAACTCGGGCACATCATAGTATACCTAAGATTCGATGGTGAGATAGATATCCTGCGTCATTATTCAAATTAAGGCATCGTACCCTGGCTATTGCAAAGTATTCAAAAACTACCGAGCATGTGTTCATTCCGAGATTGACGAGAATGGCTGTCTTTGTAGATATGCCGTCTATTAGGGCAATGAAGAGAGGCCCAAAAAGTTTGCAAATCAGGTCAATCCGCCTCATCTGGGCATTCATCACTAATATAAGCAATAGTTAATCATATTAGTTAACAGTTGGATGCTCTCAACGGCTAGGGAGTTACACGGTGGTTGCATACTTGTCAGACTTGCGTGGTCCTCCCCGGCAACAACCACCACCTATCATAACAAGTCAGTATCATCTTATTAGCTATACAGGCTGACCATCACATACCCAGTCTCTCTCTACTGAGATCATGTTTGTAATGGAGCATAGCTTCTCCACGCAGGCTAAAAGGGCCAGGATCGCCAGCAAGTAAAAATCGCCTTTTTGCATCGTGGGGATATCACTCGCCAGCAGGTAAAAGATGACGCACGATGCAATCACCACAAGCCGCTGCCATACTAGTTATAAGTGATGAGATCTCAGTCACTCAACAGTCCGGGCAATCATAACCAGTTAACTGATTAACTACCATGTTGAAGCAATGCACTCACCGATGGAAGAGCGAACCACCCTGAGCCGCTCACCCGTGTCTATATAGTGTCCCACTGCCGGCGCAAAGAGGATGGTCGCCACACCACGAGACAGCGCATAGACAGACATGGGCAGCAGAGTATGTGGATATATCGATGCTAGGTACAGGACGGCCCCGAACTCGAAGACGCGAGAGTTCCACGTTGACAGGAAATGCGAGATGTAGAGACGGGAGGTGGTCCTTTCATGAACCCGATGATGCTCTGCCTGACGAGAAGCTGAGATACCACCGGTTTCTACATGAGGGATCAGAGAGCTGCTCTCGTACACTCCCAGCTGCTCTCCCGAACTCGCTACTGCCATCGTTGGGGATACCTTATTTGCGTCGCCCAATTGCTCGGAGAAGTAAAGCTCTGTCCTTAGAGTGAGATTGTTTTCTAATTCTGGGTATGTATCCCCTAGCCACGCCTAGTACTCTGTATCCTTGAAAACCAGTTAGGAGCGCTTCGGGGCTTATATTTAGTGATCTGATAACTAGATCTAGAACTCGAACCTAGCGTTGGGATGATGGTAACCAATTTTCTATAACTACCTAGTATTCTCTTCATTAGAAGCCCTAGTACCTGACAATTTAATACTATAACTAGTTGTGGCAGTTAACTAGCCCAATTTCTGTAACTAGTTATTTGTCAGTGTCAAAATCTACCAACTACACGAAAAGGAGTGAGTGTACACTGATGATATGAGGCAGATATGAAGCTTCTGACAGGAACTTAACCAGGCGAAAGAAATGTTTTAAACTCAATAAGTAACTAGATCGGCCCACTCGGCTACATATTTATCCAAAGTCCGTAACTAAAAATCATGTCTCATTTTGCGGGAACTAGTTATTTGAATAATCAACTTATTTACACTTGACGCGGTTTTTCATATGACAATCCAAGAGACACAACAACCACTTAAACGACCAACGCAGTCAAGAAGCGGCTTGGACGTTTTACTGCTTTTCCTCAGGTGCACGCATGCCATGAACACTTCCGATACTTCCAAGAAACTGGTTGCCGGAGCTTGTGTTGTTGTGCTGGGAGCCTCCGAGAGCGTTGAATTGATCCCCACTTCCTGAGTTGGTGAAAGAGTAACCTGAGCGCTGTTCCTCTGGCACAGAGGGCTCCATCTTCGACAGGTTCTCGACAGCTTCGTCCAGTTTCTTGACGTGAGGCTGCATTGCTTCTTGGATGGCGTTGTCCTTGGCCATCTGGCAAACGTCCTTCATCATGCCAACCACCACGGATTCCACCTTGTGTCCCTGGCGTTTCACGGCCGTGGTGTATCGTTCGTACTTGGAGGCAGCTGGTGCTCGCGCAACGTCCCTGAACAAGTCCTCTGCGATGTTTGCATTTGCGCTGCAGGCACCTAGTGCTCTCTTGGCCGCACTAGAAAGGTCCCGTCCGTTTAGTGCGTCATTGGTAGCTTGAAGGGCATCCGTGATGAGTGGAAGCCCTTGACCGGCTGCATGGAAGGCCTTTCGAAGCGTCGTGTCATTCTCGGCGCGTTTGTAGAACGCCGCAGCGCTTTCGAGAACTTCGATCGTGGTAGAGATTAAGCTGGAGAGGTCGTCGGCTGACATCTTTGCACAAAAGGGGAAGACTGTTGCAAACGGATATTGCGAAGGAGGAATCACCAGTTACGGTCTTCAAAGTGAGATATCTGGTTGTTTTCTTTGCTTTGCTCTTTGCCTTGCTCTTTGCCTTGCTCTTTGCCTTGGGCCAGCTATGGACGAGGAAAGTCAGCTCTATATATACCACAAGGCTCCTCACCATATGATGCATATGTGGGTGGTAAGCGCCGGGCCACGCATTGAATTACCTACAGACACCAACAATCTAAAATCCTGCTATATATGGAAAGGCCATCATGCAAGCCCATGGAAGGCTCCAGCCTCGTCGGCGCTTCATACAAAGGAGGAATCTCACTCGTCAGTCGCATCTCCGCGGCGTCGCAGTCTAACCATGCCATGAAACGATAGGTATAGAAGGTCGAGGTTAAAGTTGGCTATCTTTGGCTGCAGATGACCACTAGATCGTTAAAAGGACCAATCCGATAGAATACGGCGGACTAAATGAACCATGGGCTTAAAAATATTGTTCTACCACATTGACTACATATAAGCACGTCGGGAAGCTGAAATAACTTTATTACTAAGAGGAATAAGACTATATTGTTAGCTAATAATCACGCCTTTATTTACTAAGCTACTTTTCTCTGTCCATTATAGAGTAGTGAGAAGTAAAGAGAGTGTAAAAAAAGTATAAAACAGAGTGTAGGGGAGAGGAAAAGGAGAAGTTAGGCTATAGGCTTAGAGAGAGAAAAGAGGGTGCCCCTAAGGGAATAGGTGCTTAGGTAATATGTGTAAAATATCGCCCATTTATTAAAGTGTTATTTTCAATAGCATTATTACTATTGGCTACGTTGCATTAGATCGTACAAGTTAAGAACGAATTTTGACCTCATGGCTAATTTAGTCTGCCGCACCAAACTAACATCTACATACAGAGTACATCCAAGTCTTATAGACCTGGTATTAGCTGGTTTATGAGTCGCTTAGAGAAGATGTCAAATCATCTTCGAGATTTTCTACACGTCAAGAGCATGCATTGTATTATCCCGGTCAGCGCATTGCTGGCAAAGAGCAACAACCACTTATGTTTGATGTATGACATATTTAGACGCCGTTTGTGTTTTGTACCAGGGACCTTCATACGTGCTATTCTTACTTTTTGATCAGGCGATGATGGTAACCTCGTTTGAAACCTCTTGTAAGTATATTTCATGATAAAGTAACGCTTTCGACAAGCCTAATTGGCGATACCCAGCTAGCCGCCCATAATCTTTTCAGCCTTGCTCTCCGTCGTTCATGCATGATTGGTGGCTACACATCTGCTCGCATATATACCCATCTTCAACCGAGACAGCGACTGGATTTCTTTCTTTTCTAATATATAATACCACATTCACACTTACTACTGAAAGTTCTCTTTTTGACAACCGAGACAATGGCGAGACCCCAGTCGTCTAGGGGAGATACCTACGAGAATAAGGGCCTTGGAGATCAATTCAACACTCCAGGCGGCACCCAGTACAACTATACAGGCTCTAACACAACCGTCAATAACTATCATGGTAAGGATGAGCATTATTGATAATTTTAATATGGTTCCTAACGACATGGCGAATATCTAAAGATATTAAACCGCCGAAGGCTTTACAGGAAAGATGCCTCGAATCTTTGCGCTTTTCAGGAATAGATGATCGGCTTAATAGCATGGAGGACGCTGCGGAGGGTACCTGCGAGTGGCTGATTCAACATAAGAAGTACAAGAACTGGGCTTCCCGAGATCGGAGTTTACTCTGGATCAAGGGCAAGCCTGGCTCTGGAAAATCGACCTTACTACAATACGCTCTTAAAAATGCCGAGAAGACACCCAATATTGGAGAAAGCAATCCTATCTTTCTCTCATTCTTCTTCTATGACCGCGGTAATACCGAACAGAAGACGCCACTTGGCTTCTTCCAGTCACTCCTTTATCAGCTCCTCTGCAAGGCTCCCGATGCTATGGGTGAACTTCTTACTGCGTTTGAGGAACGGGAAAATAAGGGGGAACACGGTGTAATGTGGCACTGGTATCAAAAGGAGCTGCACGCCTTGTTTGAGTCTTCCCTTCGGGATATTTTAAAAATCCGCCCAATCTGGCTATTTGTCGATGCGCTGGACGAATGTACTGAACCAGACATGGCTATGTTTATACAGAAGTTGAAGCTCGGATTCCAACAACTACCACCCACTAGTTTACCATGTCGCGTATGCTTCACTTCCCGTCAACACTCGTTCCAAAACCAAATATCTGACCTGGATGTCGAATCGGAAATTTCTGTGGAGAGCCACAATGGAAGAGATATTTCTACCTATGTGACGTCTAGGCTTTCCATCGCATCTATGCTTTCGATTGCTGAGAAGAAGGCCGTTGCGGAAAAGATCACGGAGCGCGCCCGTGGAATTTTTATGTGGGCTCGTCTCGTTGTGGTAAGAGTTCTAGAACTTGAGCCTTATGAGCCTACGGAAGCGATAGTCGAAGAGATTATGAATACCTCTCAAGATCTATACGACTTATACGCAAAACTTATTGAGAAAGTGAAGGGGAACCCAGGTTCCCTAAAGCTGCTCCAATGGATTTGCTTTGCTAAGCGGCCCCTGTCTCTAGACGAATTGCGATGGGCTATGGCCGTAGATGCTGATATAAAGAGTCCATATCGGTCATTAAAGGTATGTAAGAATACGACCTATTATACATCCAAAAATCAAGTAATAGAGGGGAGGGTTAAAACTTATAGCTGTGGGATTACCGAGGTTATACAGTTATCTACGGGACCAATCGTACAGTTTATCCACCAGTCAGCCAAAGACTTTTTAGTTGAAAAGGGTCTATCGCTTCTTGACTGCAGCCGGATCCCTGGGGGTAGGGATAATGCAATAGGACGTGCACACTATCAAATATCCAGAACCTGCATACGCTACTTATCCATGGAAGAGGTTGCTCAGTCGACAGTCGGCAAATCTAGATTTAGTTATTCACTAACCGACAGGTTTATATTAGCGTCTAGGTTTCCCCTACTAGAGTATACGTGCTCGTGGATATCACACGTACAAAAAAGTGATGCACAAGGGGTGCCTCAAGATGACCTGTTAGACTATTTCAACTGGCCATCGGAGGGTATTGTTCGAACATGGGCACATTATCACTGGGTTCTGGATCGAACCCTGGAAAGCTATCAGGGCCATAGTACTCTGTTACATTTAATGGCAGAAAATCGTATTATTGGCCCCTGCCGGGCGATTCTGAAAAGGGCAGACGAGGAGAGCGTTGATATCACTGCGACAGATGGCGACGGTCGTACGCCGCTTCATCTTGCTGCCGCTTCGGGGGATGATACTATTGTTGAGCTGCTCCTTAGCACGGGCAAGTTTGATGTCGAAGATCATACCTACCTACACCTACGCCCGGTCAGATGGCTTATGCGCAAGAAACTACCTAACCCGTGCAAGGATGATATCAATACAGCAGATATGGGTGGACAGACCCCACTTTGGCACGCCATTTCGAGGGGGCATGCGGCTACAGTCAAACTCCTTCTCAATCAACGCAAAATTGATGTCAACAACGGTAAACCGCCGCCACTATGCGAGGCTGCTCGGAAGGGCCGTGGAGATATTGTCAAGCTACTTCTAGAAACTGGCAAGGTCAATATCAATGCACAGGATATGGATAACCAAACAGCTCTTCACTATGCTACCGGCCAATCAACAAAGTCTCCAGTCAAGGTACTTGATACTAGCAAGGTTAATACCAATGCACGGGATAAATTTAGCAGGACAGCTCATCACTGTGCTACCAGCCGTTCAGCAGCGGCCATAGTCAAGCTACTTCTTGATACTGGCAAGGCTGATATTAATGCACAGGATAATCACGGCAATACAGCTCTTTATAATGCTACTTTTCGTCAGGAAGAGGCCGTTGTTAAAGTACTACTCGAAACTGGAAAGGCTAATGTTAATATTAAGGATAACGATGGCAACACTGCTTTCTATACTGCTATTATTATCAAGTCCTGGAGTATAGTTAAGCTGTTGCTTGATACTGGAAAGGTTGATATCAATATGCAGGGTTATGGCGGCATAACAGCTCTTCACCGTGCTACTAGTTATTCAACAGAGGCTATAGTCAAGCTACTTCTTGATACCGGCAAGGTTAATATCAACGCACGGGATGATTTCGGCTCGACGGCTCTCCACTATGCCATTGACCGTGAACCAGAGGGAGCAACTATCTATCAAATAGAAGCTATAGTAAAACTACTTCTAGAAACCGGCAAGATTGACGTCAATATACAGGATAATGATGGCGAGACAGCTCTTCACTATGCTACTTCCCTTCGAGAAGAGGCCGTTGTTAAGCTACTGCTCGAAACTGGCAAGGCTCATATTAATATCAAGGATGATAATGGCAACACTGCCTTCCATACTGCTATTTTTCGCGAGTACTATGGTATAGCTAAGCTGTTTCTTGATACTGGAAAGGTTGATATCAATGTGGAAAATAACTTCGGTGACACTCCACTCGAGGTGGCTATCGAAGAAGGGCGAACGGATCTGGTCCATCTGATGCGCGACATTGGCTCTCTAGACTTAACCTGAGCTTACATCTAGGAAGTCAGCTTACCTGAGAGCTTTGATCTGGTGCATAAGGCATACATAGTCTTAGGCTTGGGGGTGGCGGGTTTCTCCTTTTCTTCCTATCGTCTTCTAAGTTTGATATTCTTCAGGGATCATGTACAGTACCTTTATGCGAGTTTAATTAGTGTTTTACTGACTGTCTGTTTACTCGGCTTCACTGTTGCGCTGACAGAGACTTAAAAGGCGTCCTGCTTGCCAAACTGGTGTCAGATCTATTGATGGAACATGGACCATGAGACATAAGACAAAAAGGCCTATCTACCCCATGTCAAGAAAGTGCGGGTCGGAGGATGACTAATCTAATATATGTTATATAATATTTGTTATGATAAGAGAGTTTGAATCGCCAAGATGCACGTGACTCTATTAGTCATCAGTTTCGGCGAACATATAACGCGACATCGCCATCGGCGTGGAGAAGACACTTTCGTGTTCGCCAAACTGTTAGTGGCAAGACAGAGATTTCACGGAGATGAGATTCGGCACTGTATGAGAATCTCAGCTATAAAAAGATCAAAACTCCATGTATTTAGCAGTTCTGTAGATTGAAATACATACGTCTGAAAAGTGCAATCTCCATTGTAAATGAGATAGTTCGATATAACGTTCGCCAAGTCAAGCTACTCAGCAACCTCCGCCGTACGATCCAAAGGATTCCTTACAATATTTGGTTTAACGGCGCCAAGTCCTAGTTTGCTGGTCTAATACTTCGTTACGTAACTTAACTTCTCTTAACTAACAAAATTTACTCGTTTGATATCAACTTGTGTGTGACTCGGAAATCACCACCTGAAGAGGGAGTTTGATTCACCAGCAGGTGTCGATTGATGGCATCACCTTCGACTGCCCAAGGTATTTTACTCTTCGCTTTCGGTGGTTCGAGTCTCCCATAAACATAAACATAAAACATAAACAATAATGGTGCACGCTGCGAGAGTCGGCGTCCTCGGCGGCGGCCAGCTCGGCCGTATGCTAATGGAGTCTGCAAACCGCCTGAACATCCAGATGAACATCCTCGACGCGGAGGCAGCGCCGGCAAAGCAGATCAGTGCACGCGATACCCATGTAACAGGCTCGTTCATGAATCGTGAGGCTGTCCGTAAGCTGGCAGAGGTCAGTGACGTCCTGACTGCCGAGATCGAACATGTCGATACCTTTGCGTTGGAGGAGGTACAGTCTCTGGTCCAGGTCGAGCCCAGCTGGAAGAGCATTAGGATCATCCAGGATAAATATGCACAAAAGGAGCACTTGGCCAAGTTTAAGATTCCCCAGGCAGAGTATCGGGAGATCCGGGAGAATCGTCCTGAGGAGCTGGCTAAGATCGGACAGGAGTTTGGATATCCGTTCATGCTGAAGTCGAAGACTGGTGCTTATGATGGGCGAGGTACGTTGGTTCTTATCTATTTAACTGTTGCTCTTGCTACAAGTTTGCTGACTTGTTGTGCCTAGGTAATCATACGGTAAAGGGTGAGGCCGACATATCTCCTGCTTTGGAGGCTTTGAAAGGCAGACCCCTTTATGCAGAGAAATGGGCCAATTTCAGGATGGTAGGCTTAAACTATCTTGATATCTTTCGCGAGACGAGCTAAATCTGTGTGTAGGAACTGGCTGTTATTGTGGTCAAGACAAAAGACACTGTTCTTTCCTATCCCACCGTCGAGACTGTCCAGGAACACTCGATATGCAAGCTTGTCTATGCACCAGCACGAGGTGTCTCAGAGCAAATCAATGAAAAAGCTCAAGAACTAGCGAGAAATGCCGTTGCTGCGTTCGAGGGCAAGGGAGTCTTCGGAGTCGAGATGTTCCTCTTGGAGGATGACACGCTACTACTCTGCGAACTGGCCAGCCGGATTCACAATTCAGGACACTACACTATTGAAGGATGCGGCCTGTCGCAGTTTGATACCCATCTACGAGCGATCCTCGACCTGCCTATCCCACCACAGAGCCTGCAGCTACGACAACCATCTGTTATGCTTAACATCCTAGGCGGGTCTGCTCCGGACTCACACCTAGATATCGCACGGCAGGCTCTGTCGATACCGAACGCCAGCATCCATCTGTATAGCAAGGGAAATGCCAGACCAGGACGCAAGATGGGCCATGTCACTGTGACAGCCTCGACGATGCATGAAGCTGAGGCTACCATACAGCCGTTGGTTGAATACGTCAACGGCAAATCGGCAGCCTCTGTAGCTCCTTTGGCCACACCAAAGCCTCAACCGACAGTGGGTGTCATAATGGGATCTGACAGTGATTTGAAGACCCTTGTTCCTGGATTGAAGCTGCTGCAGGAGTACTTTGGCATCGTACCGGAGGTCGACATCACCTCTGCTCACCGTACCCCTGAGTACATGGCAGAGTATGCGGCTTCGGCAGCGTCTCGAGGCATAAAGGTCATCATTGCTGCTGCTGGCGGTGCTGCCCATCTTCCCGGAATGGCTGCTGCCCATACATCTCTTCCTGTCATTGGTGTTCCCGTCAAGGGAAGTGCTCTAGATGGTGTGGACAGCCTTTACAGCATCGTACAGATGCCCAGAGGTACGTCCCTTATTCCCTACCATAATGTAATAATTATTGACTTCTGACTTGTATTAGGTGTCCCTGTTGCCACGGTCGGAATCAACAACAGCATAAACGCTGCTCTCCTTGCTGTGAGGATACTGGGTGCTTTCAACCCGGCCCTGCGCCAGAAAGTCGAGGAGTATGCAAAGACAGCGAAGACCGAGAACCTCGACGTCAAGGGGGTTAAGATGAGAGAGATCGGATGGGAAAAGTACTTTGATCAGATGGAAAAGAAATAAACTGGCTTAAACGACTAACTATGAAAATGAATAGACGCTGATATATAGCTCATGTTACGAACAAAATCTCAATGAACTATCACCACCAACGCTCTCGTAACGATATGCCACTTAGATTCCAGTACAACACTATCTATGTAACCGTCTATCTAACGATCTTTTAACATCTTCTACCTCTTCTTTCGCCTTGTAAGCCCATTATATGTCCTGCAAAATAACAAAACATACGTATTCACGTGACGCAATCGGCCTTTTCCAACCCAAAGATCGAGGAAGAAACAGAATCGACACAGCAAAAGCCACAAGAAGAAGAAAGGAAAAGGAAACGAGACTTCTATCGGGTTTGTTATAAGAGAAATAAGGACAAACGAGATAGTCAACGGAAGCTGTTGGGCTTCTGCGAGTTTGTCACGCATGATGGCTGCAAATGGCGCTGGAACGAAAGGTATGGGCTCATCGCCAACTGCGTCATCGCGGAGGTTACATGGGAGAAGGATACAAGACTAACAGTTGACGATACAGTGCTGAACCTGCCTGCGAGCACCGATCCCAGCTTCGTCGATGCCTCTGGATACAAGTTTAAGGAGAAGGATTTCAAGTCCGGCAAAGTCAAGGTGAAGAAGGCCGCCGCAAAGCTGCTGAATGGCCTGGCAGAGCAGAGTATGTGTACATCACCGTGATCTTGATATCACTTACTCTTCACTTCAGACTAAGTAAGGACCCTTGCTAATATCTACTACTAGACTCCAAAGACGATCAAGACACCCGAGGCTCGTCGTCGCCTATCCTACCCGAGATGGACGCGCAGACGATGGCAGCCTTTCCTACCGGCAAACCAAGAGAAACCAAGCTCGAGACCGTGATATGCAAGCACTGCAAGAAACCAGCCCTTAAGCAGGCTGCGGCAGAACATATACGTGCATGTCTGAAGGCAAAGCAGGAGAAGGCTCGGAAGAAGAAAGAGGCTCGAGAAGCAAAGCTGACCAAAGACAAGCCCGTGGATAAAGAGGGTACTGAAGACGCCGAGGGAGAAGTCGTTGCCATGAAGGGACAGAAGAGCGCGAAGAAGAGCGCCGGAGACGATGCGAAGAAGGGGAAGAAGCGGAAAGTTGACGCAGATGAAGACAAGGAGCCGAAGAAGAAGAAAAAGAAGGACGAGCCGAAACCCAAGGTGCCGAAGCCCAAGGGGCCGGTGGACGTTGAGAAACAGTGCGGTGTTATACTTCCGAACGGCGCTCAGTGTGCGAGATCCCTGACCTGCAAGAGCCATTCTATGGGTGCGAAGAGAGCTGTTCCTGGACGGTCTCTCCCGTATGACATGCTGCTGCAGGCGTATCAGAAGAAGAACCAGGCTCGCCAGCAGAGTATGTTTCGTGTACTTGTATCTCTATTGCATGATGCTAACTGCCTTATAGAAGCTGCTATTGACGCAAACGCTCCTATCCACGACGACATCGACGGCAACGGCCCCATCGACTCGGACGAGGAGAAAGATGCAGTTATGGCTGGACTGGCTCGATCTCGTCCTCAGCCGCTGGTCACTCACCCGCTCATGTCCACCCAGCGCAAATACCATCTGATACGGATGAAGGAGATGTTCTCCCAAGCTCTTGGTGGTGGCGGCGGCGTAGGAGGAGGACTGTTCTCTGGAGACTCCATCTTCTCCGGCCGCAGCATATTCTCACGCTCAGAGTCACCTCCCTTTCCGTCCTCTAGCGTCGGTAACCCGGCAGATAGCTCTATACAACAGCCCCAGGACGGCTCGAGGAAGTCTTCCCTCTCGCAGCAAGCAGCTCAAAACCGGACGGCCCAGTCAGCAGCAGCAGCAGGAGCAGCGGTAACAGCCGTCTCGGCCAAACCTGTCACGGCATCTTGACCATCTTTAGGATATATTCTTCACTTTCTCTTCTTTCAACCCGGCGTTAGGACTGCATCGGCTTGGTATATCATCATCACTGGGAGCGCTTCGGACAGCGACGGGATTCGTTTCATCTTTTTTGGGACTTTGGTGTACATGTTTGTGTTTTGGACGAAGGCTTTTATGATACCCGCAGAGACGCTCGATGTACGAATATTCATGAACGCAATATAGCTGAATACTACTCTCGTTAGCAATAATATAACAACACTCTGTATACCATCGATCATGTCTATAGCTGTTTTAATACTGTTCGTCCTGCTGGTAGAGAAGCAGAAGAAAAAAAGCGACTCCGGCGTAGATAAGAAAACGAGCTTTGCTGCCTGCGCCATCTTTCTTCCAAGCTCCTTCAACTATCACCAACATCTTTTCTTCCACACCTCCAAACAGACAGGACAGACGCCCTCGAACCGCCGCAAAGGCAGACCTCCCTGCACCCTACAGCCTCAGTAAAGCTTCTCGTCTTCCTAAAAGCAGCATAAGAGCAGCCATACCGTCCAGCGTGCCCGTGAACTACACCTCTCGACGCCACGTCGCGAGACGGTGGCCTCAAAATCCTCCCTTCGATCCTCGCCCGCGCAGCATTCCTTTGCCCCAGAGACCATGGGGAATTCAGTTCCTGACATCGATGCGATCGGGATAAAAGCAGAGCCGCACCTGGCAGACCAGTTCCGGCGCGAAGTGGCTCATCTGCTGGGCCGTTCGTCGCTATCTTTCCCCGGCGCGCAGCCCGTCAGTTTCGCATCCCATCATATCCGCGAGCTCCAGGAGAAGGACTACTACGTATGCGAGAAGACGGACGGCATACGATGTCTGATGTACTTTGCGCGAGGAGATCCAGACTCGGATACGCCGGAGATTCACTACCTGATCAATCGCAAGAATGAGTACAGGTTCATACCAGGCCTACATTTCCCCATGCCGGACGACGATACCTTCCAGAGCTTCCATGTGGACACGCTGGTGGACGGCGAGCTGGTCAACGACACGTACGAGGACGGTACAGAGCAGCTGAAGTACCTGGTATTCGACTGTTTGGTGCTGGACGGCACGAGCCTGATGCACCGTACTCTAGACAAGAGGCTGGCATATTTCAAGGAAAAAGTGCTCAAGCCGTATAACGCCATGTACAAGAAATTCCCCGAAGAGAAGAAACACCGGGTCTTTGCCGTGGAGGACAAGTCAACGCAGTTCAGCTACGGTATTGAAATGATGTTTCGAGAGATCATTCCAAAAGTCAAAAAGATACATGGCAACGATGGCTTGATCTTTACATGCCGCAGTACGCCGTACAAGATCGGAACGGACGAGCATACGCTGAAATGGAAGCCCCCAGAGGAAAACAGTATTGATTTCCGTCTAAGGTTGGAGTTCCCTTCCCTAGAGCCGGACTCAGAGGACGAGGCAGATGGTATCACCGACGCGTATCCGGACTACGACGCTCTACCGACCTGCCACCTCTTTGTACTGCATAACAGAGGGGAATACCGCCATTTTGGTTTCATGCATATCACCGAAGCGGAATGGGAGGGTATGAAAGCATTGCAAAAGCCCTTGGACGATACCATCGTTGAATGCACACAGGACGAACAAGGTAGATGGAGATATATGCGGTTTAGAGACGACAAGTCTGATGCAAATCATATCTCGACCGTAGAGAAAGTGCTTCAAAGTATCCAGGATCGGGTAAGCGAGGCAGAGCTCATCAGCTCTGCGCCGGCTATCAAAGCAGCGTGGAAGAGGAGACAGGCTATGGCTGCAGATGAAGAGGCCGCCAGACGGAGGGGGGTGCATAACGGCATTTCCAACGGAGCCGGAGCGAAGAGGAAATACGGCGAGTAATACAATACAATATCCTCCCTACTGGCGTCTTCTTTTACCCTTGGGTTCTGTGTTTACGAATCTCTTTTCTCGGAGCTCTCCTGGCTGTCTGTATCTTGCAATCTTTGCTTGTCAAGATATTCCAGGCGTGGTGGTTTTCTCACATGGTTTCTTAGAACTTGTATAAATAAGTCTGTTACGGCGCGGTTCTTTTTACTTATTGTTACCTTCAATATCCTGTACACGAAACCAGGTTGTCTATATACGCCTGGTTCTACTTTTGGTTCACAATCATTTTAGGTGTTGTACGCTGGGAAAATACGGGGGAGGAGAGGGTGTCAAATTTCATAATCGTTTCTATCTTATTCCCTTTGACGCTTTGCCTACACATGCTTAGCTAGGCAGCAAATGAAGGCAGAACGAGACAATAACATGATTTAGGTATTCTAAATACTGGATTAGCTTCAATATTCAAAATCGTCATCTACGGCTCCCTTGGCCGTGTTAGATGCGACACTCTCCTGTTTTCGATACATTTCCGCAACGGCCTTTGTAGTAGTGGCTTGATCAGGCTTTTTATCTTCTCGCGCCTTGATGTATCGTGGGAAACGAAGGGAGATACCCTTGGCGGTAGAACCGCCGGTGCTGCCCATCACTTCGTCACTGGCAGCACTATATCTAGGGCTGAGAGTGAGGTCAGCAGCCTTGACCTCCCAGACAAACTTAGGCTCGAACCAGACGTCTGGCTGGTCCTTGGGAACTGTCGAATGAGAGTAGAATGGCTTTGGTTTGTCAATAACAAGTGGGCTGAGGGTTTCGTGAAGTTCCTCAAGCAAAGCTTCAGAGAAACCTGTGCCAATGTTGCAGATTGTTTCGTAGTTTTGCGTCTTGGGGTTGTATGCAGCAAGCAAGAAAGCACCGTACACTGAGGTACGTTTGCCGCGACCAAAATATGCGCCGAGCACGACAAGGTCGAGGGAATCACCTATTCCAGCAAGATAGTCCTTTTTGACCTATTGATCAAATACGTCAGCTAGGCGTCTGAAGCTATAGATGTTAGATAACTTACTTTAAGCCAGTTTCTACTTCTCTTGCTCGGTTCATAGCCACTGTCTTCCGTATCCAGCATTTTTACCATGAGACCCTCACAAGAAGCTTTCACACTCTCGTCAAGCATGGTCTGGATTTCCTCCAAATCACTAGTGTTTCCGTGTTGAGCGAAAGCAAACTCTCCCTCAGTTGGTACAAATGCGCCATGTAAGAGGGCACGTCGTTCCCTGAGTGTCTTTTTGACAGTAGGCTATATATGGTCAGTATCAACCCATCCGTAAGGTATGAAAGCAACTCACCTCTCCATTCAAGAAGAGCAAGTCAAACGCAAAGACGCAGACTTTAACCTTGATATCTTCCGATTTCACATCCTTCCTCTTTCTAGTCATGAGTTGCTGGAAGGGGAGAACTTTTTTGTTAACAGTATCCCAAGCTACTGTTTCACAGTCCACAACGAAACTATGAGTGCCGGGTTTAACCCATGTTTCCAGTTTCTCGAGGATATCCGGATACTTCTTTGACAAGTCTTCAGAATTTCGAGAGAAAATAGCACAAAGGCCTTCGCCATCCTTTTGAAGAGTCGTAGAGGCGGCTGGGTAGTCCTTGATGGTGTCCCGAGAGATATAGTGTATCTGTGCTCTCTCACCGTCATATTTGTACTCGCAGGTGAAATGCTTCCCTTCAAACCGGTCAAGCACTTCACTGATGGCTTTGGTAGGTTTCGCAAGCATGGGTTTCAGTGGGACACCAGGTTGCAATTTGCAGTTGTCTGGCAGATTGAATATGCCATGTTTAAGCATAGCAGGAATGATCACTTCATATGATGGGAGTTCACTATAGCGAAGCGTTAGCTTGTATATCGCACTGACCTTACATGGAAATTTAAGCGTACCTGTAGACACTTTTGAGAATATCTTCTCCCTTGGCAAGTTGATCCGTACTTGGAGCCTTTCCACCATTAATCTCAGCCTCGTGTGCTACCATTGCATGGGCCAAAGCAACGAGCACAGTTCTCTCAGCCAGTCCAAGCCGAAGTTTACCTTCCAGGAATCGTACGATGAACTTAGCCTCGCTGGCACCACCCCTGTCTTTTGTGATATCAATTGCTTTGGCTCCCTTCCCAGTCTTGTCGGCATCAGCAGCAGAGAGTAGTTTTTTAATACCAGCAATCTTTTTATCCTGAGACCCCGTACCATGTGTCTTTGCAATGGCCAGAAGTCCCTCATGCACACCTCGCACAGTTAATGCTTTAGGCTTAAACATGGTGGGCTGGTTTGATCGACTCTTTGCAGCAACAAGTCCTAGGTCTCCGATTTCATTTTGATCTGCCTTGATGACTGCAAGACTGCGTCCAGTTGATTCACCAATAGATTTCATGATTAGAGACTCTCCAATTCCGAGTTCAATTCCGGCATAATCTGCCGCTAGTTTGTTTATCATCAACTGGACGGTGGAAAGTAGATCATCTGGGGTAAGACGCAGTACTTGGCGCAAGAAAAGTGCGCAATGGGATAATATGATAAGGCGTTTTGTAGTCAACTCGATTTGTGAGAAGGTGGTGCAAAGCGCCGCATAGGGAACGGGGTCTCCAGCTTTCCAATCAGGGTATAGATCTTTAGGCTTGGACGTGAGAGTACTCTGGACTTGTTTCCGTTGTTTCGCCGCAGCCTTCTTTTTCTGCTGGACTTTGGCAGGTTGTTCGTCTACATCATCTTCCTCAATATCTGACGCTGAATTCTCTTCGGCGGAGGATAACTCTGGTTCAGGCTCTGATTTGAGCTTCTTCGGCGATGGGCTATCTTTAGCAGCCGCCTTACTACGGCCACCATTACCAGGGCTCCTCTTTTTGGGGCTGGACTTTGGCGATCTCCTCCGACGCTTTGTAACAGGTTGTTCATCCGACTCCTCACCGTCTCTGGCTGCTGCTGTCTCCTTTCGTTTCTGTCTGCTAGTCACAGGAGAAACCGACTCACTTTTCTCACCACCAGACAATATTTCTCCATCTACGTCCCCGTCGTCAATTGGAGGTGGAGTGCGCTTGCTTCCGGCACGGCCAACCTGCTTCCGAGGTGTTTGGGGAGCCTGGTCCACAGATTCTTCATCTCCATCTTTAGTCTCGTCGTTCTTAGAGCTACCACTTGCCCTTGATGAAAACGCGAGGGTTGATTGCTTTTTTGGCGCCGGGTTGCTGTTGGAGCCGAAGAATTTCCTGCAGGCGCAAAATCGTCACTGATATTAGCTATGCGAAATTGTAATAAGGGACTGTGTGTACGTGTATCGCTCCAAGAAACCACAGAGGCGCAGCATGTCAGAGCATATAGCTATACTGACCCACGCACCAAAGTGTTGATTGAGGGTCCCTCACATACCCTAGTGTTGATTGCTTCGAGCCACCAGATTTTTGAGCCATGATAGCAGATATGGAGGTTATATTGGTATATAATGTTTGACTGTACTGAATTGGATTCCTTTGAAACCGGTAGAAAAATAGTAAAGGCCTTGTTCGCGCAACGTGTCGGGAATAAATTGAGGCTGAGAAACTCATAGAATCAAAGATAAATCTGGGTAGGAGAAGGCAGAGTAATAGGATAAGCTAGTGACAAACTAGGTGGAAGAGCGGTAAAGGCGGTGCTAGAGGCGATTGCTGGTTGAAGTCGAGGGAGGATATCAGAGGCTGAGTCGATATACCATTTTGGCGCAAGGGCGTCGCGCAGTATTTATCTGTAAGACAACCACCATGCAAGTGGTGCCTGGCGCGGTGTGGGCCTGGCTGACTCCTTTGGCTAGCCTGTCCAGGGGAGAGCTGCTGCCTGCCGACGAGGGACCGGGGGTAATGTTGGATATGGGAGATTGCGCCGTGTTATATACGAAGCTGATATTCGGTCTTTCTATTACACGCGCGAAAGTTAGAACAAGCGCGTCGCGTTAAGATTCACGTGACCTGCTGCCTGGCGAATACGAGAAAAGGGCTTCTTCTTCTATTAGTAGGGGGAAGGTTTGTATTTTTATGTCAAGAGATGGATCCTTGGCTTGAGATCTGCATTTTGATTAAGAGTTATAATATACGATCATTAAAAAAGACATAAGGACGGAGTATGTGATATGGAATCATGTTAAATGAGTTGCAACTCCGTACAAGATTGGATGTATGGAGTTGAAAGGGAACAAAGTCCTTGGTTAGAATAATTTGGATTCCAAGTACCCTGAAAAAAAAAAAGTTCAATTCCATCTTAGAAATAACAAAAGCAAATTCCAGTAAAAGTAGATTCCGTCAAATATTCAAATATCCATGAGCCTGGAGACAACTTTGCGCTCCGTGTACTGTGGCCACTCGTTCTGCGTGCGACTAAGCTTCCTGCTTTACTCTCATGACCCTAGAGTTGGGTGAGGCTTTGGCCTGGTTGAACATTTCGTTAGCTGCTGGGGTAGGAATAGGTGGAATGCCTGGGATGGATGGAAGGCTTGGAAGGGATGGGAGGCCAGGGATGGACGGAAGACTTGGGATAGGTGGGATAAGGGAAGTGGCCCATGGAGGAATGGCAGTAGGAATTGCAGTTGGGACAAGAGTAGGGATGGCAGTAGGAATCAAGGTAGGAATGGCTGTTGGGACTAGGGTGGGAATGGCCGTGGGTATTGGCAGGTTTGGCAGGCCAGTGGGCAATCCAGTAGGGATAGCTGTGGGAACCCAAGATGGGATTGGAACAGATGGAATAGGTAAACTGGGCAG